AAAAAGACATAATCCCATACAGTATATTGGACCATAATGGAATGAAACTAGAAATCAACAGCAAGAAAATTAAAAGAAACCACACACATGGAGATTAAATTAATTCTTAATTAATTTTTAAAATTCTTTTAAATGAAGAATGGATTAAAGAAGAAATGAGAAAAATTATTACAAACAAATGAAAACAAAGTACATCATATCAAAATCTCTAGGACAGTATGAAAGCAGTATTAAGAAGAAAATTTATTTCATTGTATATATGCATTAAAAAAAACCAGTTCTACCTCAAGGCCTTAGAAAAAGAACAAACTAATTCTAAAATCAGTAGAAGATAGAAACTAATAAATAAATAAATAAAAAGGATCAACTCCACAAAGAGTGGGTTCCTTGAAAAGGTAAATAAGATTGATAAACCCTTAGCCAAGTTAAACCCCCCCCCCAAAAAAAGACCCAGTCAACAAAAATTAGAGATGAAAAAGGAGATATCACTACAGATGCTTCTAAAATTCAGAGGATCGATAGAAACTATTTTGAAAATTTATGCTCCAATAAACTGCAAAATCTAGAAATACATTGACAAATTTCTAGACACATATGACCTTCCCAAATTGAACCAGGAAGATAAGATATACAAAACCTAAAAAGACCAATAATAAGTAATGAAATTGAGGCAGCAATTAACAGCCTTCTGAAAAAGGAAAGCCCAGGACCTCAGCTGAGTTCTACATTTACAGAAGAAATAACCCTAGTCTTCCTCAAATTATTCTATGAAAATGAAAGGGAGGGAAACACTCCCAATTATATTCTAAGAAACCAGTATAATCCCTGATGCCAAAACTAGACCAAGATGCATCAAGAAAAGAAAATTACAGCCAATATCCCTGATGAACATAGATGCAAAAATCTTCAATAAAATCTTAGCAAACCACATTCAAAAACACATGAAGAAGATAATACACCATGATCAAGTGGGCTTCATTCCAGGAATGCAAGTATGGCTCAGTACATGAAAATCAATAAGTGTAATTAATATCTTAAATAGAATTAAAAATCATATGACCATTACCAATAGATGCAGAAAAGGCCTCTAAGGAATACAGCACCCAATCATGTTAAAAACACTGGAGAAACTAGGGATGCAAGGAATTTACTTCTGCATTATAAAGGTTATCTGTGACAAACCCAAAGCCAATGTAATACTGAACAGAGAAAATCTGAAAGTATTTCCTCTAAAATCATGGACAAGGTAAGGAGATTCACTCTCACCACTCTTATTCAATAGAGTTCTCTAAACTCTACCAGAGCAATCAGGCAAGAGGAGGAAAAAATAATTCTCTTTATTTTTTTCTGAAACAATTTGTGGTTCTCAGTGCTAAGAATATCTTCCTTAGTAGAAATACACTATTCTTTTCATTGTGTACTTTTTATTTCCATTTTAAACATTTGGGCTTTTCTTCCTCTTGCCCCATTGTGGCTAACATTGGAAATCTTTTATTTTCACCAGCTTTTTGAAGTATTTTGCATCCTCTTTCACAATTTGGTTGAAAAATACCTACTGAACAATTTATGAAAGGAACCTCTTTTTGATTATGTGTAGCTTTATATGTGTGAATTGCATTTAGGAAGTGTTACTTTTCAACAATTATTTTTCAAGTTCTTCATATATTTTATGGTGCCTAAGAAAAAGATATTCCCAGTTAGCATGTTCTGATGTGCCTAAATCAGGGGTAAATAATACTGAGGTCTAAAAATAGCTCTGTTCCCACTAATAATGGGCACACCCAGCTCCCAGACTTTGGTTTCTAATTCCATTCTTTAGTGAAAAGAACCTGGGCTGCTTGCGTGATGGATGATTCCAGGTCTGGGGCACCTGGTAGTACAGTAGGGTAAGAAGGTGCTCAAAAAACAAAATGGGAGTGGAGTGTCTGACTACGAGAGCTCCTAAATACCAGAACTAAAACAATTTTATCACTAAAAGAAATAGGCACAAAATAAAGATGTTTTTGTCAATGATGACATTATTGTCTTAGTGAGTGTAAGCACCCTCTATGATGCTCATAATGAAATTGCCTAAGAATGCATTTCTCAGATGGTGCCCTCCTCATTAAGCTATGCCTGAGCCAGTTTTTGCAGTTTGCAATTTCAATCGAGGGTTTTTTGGTTTTGTCTTGGATTTTTATATTTTATTATATTCCTGAGCAAGAGTTTGAGATGTTTGATCATTAGCATTTAAGGGAAAACAAAATTAGTAAGACACGGCTTCTGGCCTCTAAGAGGCAACAGGGTCTGTGAGCCACAACAGGACCTGGGGAAGCAGGTAAAACAATACATATGACAATAACTCATTTTATTCTCATGATAACTTTGTGAAGTAGTCCCACTTGCCAGTTAATGAATTTAAAGCACAATGGGATTGAGTGACTTGTCCACTGTTGTTCAGTGCCAAGTGGCAGAGTTGGGAATCCAAGGTAATCTTTCAGTCTGGCTTTAAATCTGGGCTTTTTACCTATTCAAAGAATTGGGGAAGTACTGATTGACATGGGGGAAGAAAGGGGCAAGGAAAGTGAAGACATTCTCAGGCAGAGGGTACAGAATGGGTAGATAGGTCTGAAGGAGGAGTGATAAAGATCTCTCTGCTTCTCATCTTGCTGCCCTGGTATTAGCTACCCTGAATTTTTTTTTTTTTTTCAATTGGGGATTGAACCAAGAGGCACCTTACCACAGAGCTAAGTCATTTGTATTTTTTAATCTCAGGACATGGTCTTGCTAAGTTGCTGAGGCTGGTCTTGAACTTTTCATCTTCCTTCCTCAGCCTCCTGAATCACTGATTACACACATGTTCCACTGTGCCTGGCTCAAGCTCTTTATTTGGTTTGGGGTAAGGCAAGCAAGATTTTTATACTCACATTGAGAATACTGACTTAGAACATGAGAAGGCAGTTTGGGGACAAACACACAGGACTTTATAGCAGCCAGAAAATTGCACCCCTGGTCCCCCAGTTAGGTGAGTAAATAGTCTTTGGAGATGTGACGTATCATATCAAGTCAGTGACTTAATATTTATTACTTTTCAGAAAAGTTAACCTAGTAGTACTAGAAAACAGGCTGGGATTTTATGTTTTTCTTTCTTGTTAAAGAACCTCTTGAGCTCTATTTGGGGATAAAGAACCACTTTTGTACACTTTCCTCTTAAATTTACCACTTTTCATAAGAAGTAGAATTTGCCTATTTAAAGGCAACTTCTTCTCCCCTTTCCCAACTGAACGATGCCCTTGTGATACCGGTAAGCATCATATGGACTACTTGTCTCCAGAAGACCTCCATTTTACAAAAGTAAATCAAAAATCCACAATTAGAAATCGAAACATGTCAAACAGAAAGCACCACTTATTGATAACCAAGAAACACAGTAAGCCCTTGTCATTAGGTGTTGAGGGCACAGCAAAGTCCTGTTGTGGGACAACTGAGAGAAGAGCCTTGGTGACTGAATGTCTTTCATGTCATTCAGAAAAGCAGAAGTAGAATCCATTGGCTTGGCATGTAGTGGAGGATCACAGGCACAAAGCAGTTGACAGGGAGTTCCTATCCACACTCCCCTGAACGGATCCTTTGTTGTATAATGTTGCACAGTGACTCTGCACTTATTCACCTTGCTTAACAGAAACTTTATTCCTGTTGAACAGCAATTTTGCCTTTTCTCCTCTTTCTCCTCAGTCGCTAGCAACCACCTTCCTCTCTCTTTTAGTTTGACTATTTTAGATTCCACAGATAATTGGAACCATGGAGTTATCTTCCCGTGACTGTGTTATTTCACTTAGCATACAGTGTTCTAGGTTCATTTGTGTTATCACTTATAACAGGATCTCCTTCTTTTGGAGGGAATAATATCATTTGTGTCTACCACATTTTTCCTTATGAGCTCATCCAGTTAGGTTGTTTCTGCATCTAGACTGTTGTCACTAATACTATGTGGAACACGGGAGTGCAAATCTCTCTCTGAGATACTGATTTCCATTCTTAATTCCTGGTTGTCAGGGACAGCTCTGTTTTCATTTGACGGCAGGCGGCATCTCCATACCATTTTCTGTAGTGATGGCTTCATTTTATTCTCACCAACAATACAGTTTCTCCATATTCTTGCCAAGAGTTCGTTTTTTAAAATAATAGCCATCCTAGTAAGTGTGAAATATTAATTGTGGTTTTGATTTGTTTTTCCCTGATGATTAGTGACATTGAGCATCTTTTCATATACTGACTAACCCATTTGTATTTCTTTGAAGAAACGCAAGTTCAATTCCTCCGCTTTATTTATTTTATTCGTTATGGTGGTTCTGGGGATCAAACCCAGGGCTTCACATATGATAGGCTTTACCACTGAACAACACCCCCTTTGCTCTTTTTTTAAATTGAGTTCTTTGCTCTTTAGTTTGATTTTGTTTGTTTGTTTGTTCACCATTGAGTATAGAAGTTCCCTATATATTCCGGATCCCTTATCAGATATGTGGTTTGCAGATATTTTCTCCCATTTTGTAGGTTGACTTGTCACTCTGTTGATTATTTTTCTTCTAGGGCATTTATAGTTTCTGTTCTAAAATTTTAAATCTTTAATCCATTTTGAATTGATTTGTGTGTGGTGTAATATAAAGGTCAAATTTTATTCTTTTGCATATGGCTTTCCAGTTTTCCAAATATTTTTGTTGCCAAAACTGTCCTTTCCCTATTGTGTGTTCTTGGTATGCTTTTCATAGATCAGTTGATGGTATATGTGTGAGGTTATTTCTGTGGGGTTATTTCTGTGAGCTTTCTGTTCTGTTCCAGGGCTTGACTTTTTATCTCTCTCGTTATCCAGCATGCCGTTTAGTGAGCCTTCTGCCCTTCTCATCTGCTTTTGTGTTTTGGTTAATAAGAGACCATCTGCATTTTAAAACGTAGATGGTTGAAGATACTAATACTTAATTAAGTTAGAGATGATACTTAATTTGTTGCTATATTTCATTCAGGTCTGTCATATGCAAGTCACACGGTTGGTTTCACGCCACCAACTTCATTGACTAGAGCCGGAATGTCTTACTACAATTCTCCGGGTCTTCACGTGCAACACATGGGAACGTCCCATGGTATCACAGTAAGTGTCTCTGGGAGTGGGAAGCAGCATTTCTAAGGGTGGTACCAGATGGTCCTCTTCAGAGGCTATAATTGATGCCTTTAAACATTCGCCTTTCTTCCCATCTTTCCCCATCAGTTCACCTTAAACTGCAGGTACTTCCCTATAGTTTGACACAAAGTTCTAATGTTAAAATTAGACTCCTTCCCAGGATGCAAAACTTCAACTTACTTCCTGTGGAATGTAACTTGTAGTGTGGCCAGTGCCTCCACTGAACTCTGACCAGTTCCTTGCCATAAAGAATTACTGTTGGTTGCCATGATACCTGAAAATATTTGTTGTATGCACCTTTACAAGTCACTACTAACCCTTTATAGTCCCCCTGAAGTTAATCCTTTTTCTAGTTTTACTCAGAAAATTCTCTCCTGATATTAGAAGGAAGCTTAACTGTATCTGGTTCTAATTCCATTAAGGGGAGGAGTTTTTTGTTTTTGTTTTTTTTTTTTTCCCTGTAGAATTTGTTATATAGTTGACTAACAGGCCAATCAAAAAGGTAGCTAATATGAGTTGGCATGGTGGCCCACACTTGTAATCCCAGACACTTAGGAGGCTGAAGCAGGAGAATGAATCACAAGCTCAAGGCCAGCTCTGTCAACTTAGTGAGACCCTATCTTCAAAACCAAAAGGGTGGGTGCGGAAGGAACTGGGGATGATTCTCAATGGTAGAGTGTTTGAGTCCAGAGCCTAATGCATGCCAGCCAGGCAATCTGTATAACCACACAAAGGAAGAGAAGAAAGGTAGCTAATAAGGTGAGAAAGATGGAAAGAATTTAATATTTTCACTGAGATAATATTTCAAAGAGGAACCCTATTCTATGAAATCATTTAAGATATTTGTGAAGTTTGTTTAAAGCCAGTTTGATGGACTTTGTACAAAAGGGGACTGTTTTGTTGAGCTGTGACCTTTGGAATATGGAAAAGTTGTTTGAGAGGGGTGATAGAAGAAATTGAGGACATACAACTGGCAATAAAGATATAAGACATGACAGCTGTTTTTAAATGTTACAGCTGTGTCATTGATGGGGCCACATCCAGTAGTGTGGTCAATGCCAGTTTTATAGTAATACTGCCTAGCTTTCCCACAGGTGTAGGTGTAGGTGTAAGCACTGATTGAGCTTTCCTGCCTCCCCAGGAACCAGTGGGGATACAGAAGGAGACCACTGGTTCCTGGTGACTGCAGCTCAGTGCTCCAGGAGTCTCTGCTTCTGGTGATGCTGTGTTGGTACTTGCTGGTGCCCCAGGCTGACCTGCTTCCTGTCCTCTCCACAGAGGCCTTCACCACGGAGAAGCAACAGTCCTGACAAATTCAAACGGCCCACACCGCCTCCGTCTCCCAACACACAGACCCCAGTCCAGCCGCCTCCGCCTCCACCTCCGCCACCCATGCAGCCCGCGGTCCCCTCGGCAGGCACCTCGCAGCCTGCCCCTTCGCAACATTCGGTGCACCCCTCCTCCCAGCCTTAATGCATGTGCTTAGTCTGAATTTCAAGTTGGGACTCGTCCATTGGAGCCGTCTACTCAACGCCAAAGGCTTCCTTCCCTGGCATATTTGGATCTGACTTATTTGCACTGAGGTTATCTAGGCTTCACTCTTCATTGTGTTGTAAACGTTCGTTGGAAACGCAGCCAGTGTTGTGGGTCTACAACACTAACCAGACAACTTTCCATCCGTGTTTTACTTGAATCTACATGTATGTCCATTCCCTGGCTGGAACATTGGCTATTTGGTATTTGGTAATACAACAGCAGTGTGCAATTTTTGCTTGGCCCCAGAGCTTCATTTCCTTGGCTTTTAGGTTTGTAAAATAAAAAGGGATATATTTTTTATATTTTTTTCCATGAATCTGCAGAAAATTACTGAGCTGTTATTACCCCCTGTCCAATTATTATGGTGTTTACCAAACCTACCAAGAATTCAGCACTACAGTTCACACCTTTGAAAAATCTGACTTTCAGTGTAGAGTGGGAAGTTAGAAGAATCAGTGCCCAAGACACACACTGTTTAGTAGAGCTTTCTACAGGTACACTTTTGTAGGTTATTTTCAATGTAATTTGACATCCATGTTTTTTGTAAAACAGTCTAAAGAATGAATCACATGGCTAAAACTTCTCCACATAGTGGGCTGGATAATTCTTACATAATAAAATGTGATTCTTCCCTTTATCCTTAATGCTAATCTATCTAAACTGGCCCCTCTAACATGAGTCTAACATGAGTGTCCAACCTCGGGTGGTCTCAGCGGCTGATTAGAATGTGCTCTTTGATTCCTGGTACAGAGGGCAAGGTGATTGTAACCCAACCAGTGTGATTTCCCCTCCTATTCTTTATTTGTGTTCTCCTGAGATAGAATTTGAACAAATATTTTAAAGGTGCAAAATGCTATTAGAAAATACTCTCTGCCATTAGAAGACTGTCTAGGCAAAATGGCCACAAAATACTGTATTGCTTGGCAGAAAGAAAAGACATGTAGAGGAAAGTGGTACGTTAGCACTGAGGACTGCTTATTTTGCCCAGTATAAGCAAGTACGGTGTACAAAGAAATATATTCTGAATACATTATTTCCATTCATTTAGCAGAAATAAACCATTTGGTTTCACTTTGACGTGGAACACGGCCTCACTCTTTTCTTAATACTTGGTCCATCTTTCTTTTTGTTTTTCAGCAGTTACTAATCTGTACTTTGGTAGTAAAGTGCTTTTTATCTCCTGTGTTTGCATATTTATATATGCTGTGGATGAAAATAACTTACTAGAGAATGTATATTTTATGATGAGAACGTGTTATCTGGCGGATATAATCAGAGAACTGAATATTAATTTATCAGTAATTTTTAAGAGTTCATGTTTTGTGACAACCATCTCTAATACCTAACTCCTTATTGCACACACTCCTAAAAATAAGGAACCATGATGTTGTAGATATTTAATATTGTACAGTATAGAAACTTCCATTTTTGCCTTCGAATGCATATTTAATGAGTAAACAGAATGAAAAAAAAAAGTGTTATTGGATAATAGTGTTTGACTAGCATTAAGAACTTGAGAGTAAAAGCAACAAAAAGATTTTTTTTCACTTCTTCCTGCTTCTACCCCCAAACTGAGAATGTCATCCCTAATTGTTAGGAAGAAATCGTTGATCTGTAAAAATTTTATTTATATGTCTGTTATATACATGATCATAGTGCAGTTCTCAAACATGGGGAAGTTTGGCATTTATTATTGAGGCTTTAAGTTTTTAATATGATCTGACTGGGCCATGTCAAACTGGGGATTTCCCCAACAGCTCACTGATCCTTCTGGTACATTATTACCATTCCAAGGAATTCTGAGAGTAGGCAAACTGATTTTGCCTTCACGGTACAGTTCTTTGTTTTTCTTATGGGAAATACATGTTTACAACAATCTTATGAGATTGTACATTTCAATGCTGTTGGATGGTATCTTGTGCTCAAATAAGGAAAGCCCCTAATATAATGATCTTCCCTCGGTTTCCTTTCAATTTCGTTACCTCCTGAAAGCACAAAGGTTAAAATATTGCCATGTGGTGAACGAAAAAGCACTTGGAGTGACCAGACATTTCCTGATAAATGCCTTTGACAGATAAGTTCTTGACATTCAGACCTCTGAAGAAATGTACTGCTGGTTCCCCTAGACTCACCATTTCACTTCAAAATATAGCTCCTTCAAACAGCACTTTTCAACATAAATCTAGTTGTTTCTCCCTGTGGACATTCAGAACTCATAGAACAAACACTACTCTTTTGAATTTATGATGTTTCATGTCATTTTAAAGTGTTTTATGACCTCATGTGGAGCTGCTAATGGTTGGGCAGTATCAGACAATTTCTTGGCAACTCTTTTGCCACCTGGGACTGATAAGATTCAGATCCTGAGCCCATAGAGGCAGAAGCCCCCTCCCCTGTGGGAAATGGACTTACCTAGGCTGGGAAGTTCTCAGGGGGGCTGAATGTGCTTCCTGCCATTTTGTTGCCCACTCAGACACGCTAATCTGCTTTTGGTCCCAGTAGGTCTTTGTAAAATCAGTAGCCATCCTGCAGGTGGAGGGAGCAACAGTAGCTTCAGTAGCTTTATTTCCTGTCTTACTGACAGAGACCCTTGGCTACCACTGTGCTGCTAATAGGATAAGTACTCTGTTGCCGGATTACCATGCCTTTTCTACAAAACCAAATTAACCTACCTAATACCTGACAACTCTGGGCTCTGAACTGCTTTCTATTATCAAGCATGCTGGCATTCTAGACAGAATTCTAGAAATTTGGCAGATGGTGGAAGTATTTAAGATGGAATTTTACCTACTCCTTTGATTAGAAGGAGTTTTCAGTTCCGAGCTCCTGAGATTCTGACTAGCAACCATGGAATGAATGTGACCAGAATGTGGCTTTGACACCAAGTACTGCTGTGCCTTGTGATTGGCTTCTGATTCGACCAGAAATAATCTATAATGTGAATTGTTAACTCTTCAATTGTAGGGGGAAAACAGTGCATCACCCTTTGTTAGGTAGATATGAACTTTCCCTGCACAGAGCCTTGCTTTCCCGTAAGGCAAGAAAAAGCATAGACACTTGTGCTTTGAGAGCTTAATATTTATCAATACAGAAGAAGTATGTTCACTCAAATCTTCTGTCTAGTTCCTATCTCATAGGTAACCTACACTGAGAACTTTGTAGTCATGACTACCAAAGAAATGCATAGTAAAACAAATTTTTATTTCCAAATTATTAAAAAGCCAGCCATTGACGCTGCTACATGAGTTCCATGCTCAAGAGCCATTGTAAGAGAGATTAAGGGGTTTTAGGGGTTTTGATTTTTAATTTTTCTTCTCTCTCTCTTCTCTGTGTGTGTTTGATAAAACATGTTAGCATAAAGTTTTGGCGTACGTTTTCCAGAATGCTTAGCAGTTGTGATTAACTGCTATGTCTAGGTTGCCTTTTGGTAGGCAGTTGAAGGAACCCGTGCTCATGATAGCGCGGTGCTGTGTGTGCAGGAGCGCGAGTGTGCATTCATGCCTTAACTCAGGCTACTGCTCAACTTTACTTTTTTGACTTAGTCTGCACCGTCATCTAGATTGTACCGTACATCTCAGTCTGAACTTCATCCTGCCAAAAACAAAGTTGCAGGCACAACATGTTAAGAATAATACATTCCTCTGGAAAAGTATGTGGTCAGATTGACCCTGAGTTGTCTTTGGACTTGACTTGGAACTTAGCCTGGAAAGCAAAAGTGGACTGTCAAAAGAGGTCAACAGGGGAAAGAGGAGAGCCAGCTAGCACGCCTTTTCCCTCTGCATATCCGTGCACACTCTGTGTTGCTCATGGCGGCTTGTCTACAACTTGACTATGTTGGGGTTCTGGTAATAGTGGCAATCTTGACATTCTTGGACGGAGTTTAGAGAGATGTAAGACTTCCAATTAATGTCTTATTTACTTTATGTTTATTAGTCTTTGATATGTGTGCTGAATCAGAAACCTAAATAAAGATAATTTTTTAAAATGTACCTCTTGAGCCTTAAGCCCTATCTATCTATTTATCCCTCCTTCCTTCTCCCCCCCCCCATTCTTTGGGTTGGAAAACAAACACATCCCTGTTGCTTCTGGCAGATATCCAACATAGATTATAAACACTAAATGCTGCCTTAGAAAGTAAACTTAGGGAAGATAGGATGAACGGGGCTAGTGTGGTTAAATTAAAGTATTGGAGTTTTGAAAATCCATTGATCCTTGCACTGAATATGTTTGTGCTCTTCTCTTCTGTATTTCTTTAAAGCAGTAACCCTAGGAGATTATGAAATGGAAAGGATAACCTACTCTCAAAATGTCACATATACACAGGCATGTATAGTCACATGCCACATCAATCAGTGAGGAACTGCCTATGTAACAGTCCCTCAAGACTACAGTAGAGCTGAAAAATTCCCATTGCTTAGTGACGTTGCAACTGTCATTTGTCATGCTGTGTGCATTACTCAGTGTATGTGGTGATGCTGGTGTAAATAAACCTGTGCAACTAGTCAAACACAAACGCAGTATGAACAGTGCATCATGTGTGATAAATGACTATTACTGCTTTATATATTTATCATTTTTAAGAAAATGAACTACTTACAAAAGCATACTATAAAACAATATGTCATATTACGCAGGCAACAGCCTCATGCATCTTGTGTTTAGCATCTCTGGATTGCATTAGGAGGCCACACAGAGTGATGGTGTGATTACAATCTCTGATGTCCCCATAATAACATTGCCTACCAGTGAATTTCCCTGAATGTCATCCCTGTCATTAGCTGACACACAACTGCATATACTCAGTCTTTGGATGTCACTGTTGGTGTAATATTGAGCTTATTCTTAAAAGTTTAAATTGTGCAATATAGTTTTTGCCTCCTACTTTGTAGGAAGAATCCATCAATTCTGGGTTTGAGGTTTAAGTGTCCATTCTTTTACTGGGCCAGTTACTTAAACTCTCTTGGACTTAATTTTCTTACCTATAAAATAACTTGATTTATATACCTTGCCAAAAGGAGAAAATTGGTCTGAAAGTCCAGTACAATCCTTCAAACATAACATGGACTGGTCCCACATCCATTCATTCAGGAAGAAACACAGAGTGAATATTCAGAATGAAGTTCATACACATCAGCATGGGGGTGGGATGGGAAGTATTATTTGGCAATTGTAAGCCCATATCAATTAGAGTCCACATTCTGGGGAGAAAATGCACAATTTAGCAGGATTCTCTTAGGAAGAGTCTTCAACAACTTATTTATGATACCCTCTTGCAAGTGCAAACCATTTAAAATCTAGGCCCTTTTCCGTATAAAAGTAAATTCAACTTGTGTAAATCTTGACTCACTTTGGTGTAAGCAAGATTCCATTTTTAATGCAGTGAATTTTTAATTTGATCAGGAAAACTGAAATGACCAAATGACTAGACAGCTAGGTTTTAATGTAACTTGATGATAATATTGATCAGGAAGTTTGCCAGGATTTACAAATTCAGTCTTGACTTCATCCACCAGCTTCAGTATTCTGTATGATGGAGATGGCTATTTTCATCTCAAGTAAAATTGAAGAAAACAGGATTTAGAGTTCTTTAACAGGGCTGGAGAGGAGGTATAGCTTAGTGGTACAGCACTTGTCTAGCATGTGGGAGGCCCTGAGTTTGATCCTCAGCACTAGTAAAAATAAATAAAAATTCTAAAGCAGCAAATAACTTTAAGCTGGGTTTTTTTTCCCTTTAAAGACATTTACTGTAGGAATAGATGTAGATACAGCAATGTTGCTGTAGTATTGAGGATAGAATTCGGGCTCTCTAGCACAGAGCTACACTCCCAGCCCTTTCTATTTTTTATTTTGAGATAGGGTCTCACTAAATTGCTGAGACTGACCTTGAACGTGAAATCCTCCTGTCTAAGCCTTCCAAGTCATTTTAAAAATATATTTCAAAGTCTATGTGTCCACATGGTGCTTCTAAAATTGAAATAGTTGGTTTACAGCATCTTTGTTTCTGTGTAAAACTTTTAAGGTAGTCTTGCTCCTTGTTTTAATGTATAGGCTTATAAATTTTAAAGAAGTATGCAAGAATTTTTTTATCACCAATATCTAATCCAGGCTTATGTTACTTTCTCTTTAGAAATGGAGGAAGAAAATAGTGCATATTATGGTTTGTGTCTGATGTGTATTTTGACAGGTAACATTGAGTTCCTGTCCTTTGAAATTTTCTTACACATCATCCCTAATTTTATATTGCATTGAGTGCTATGAAATAAATATATTTAGATCTTTTCCCAAAGATCCTATTTTACGAAACCATACTACAGGTTGAGTATATCTTATCTGAAATGCTTGGGATAGAAGTATCTCAGGTTAATGATTAGTTCAGATTTTAGAATACTGGCATATATATGGTATATCTTGGGATAAGATTCAAGTCTAAGTACAGATTCTTTTGTAATTCATATACACCTTACACACAGCCAGATGGGAATTTTCTACAATATTTTAAAGTACATGAAACAAAATGGTATTTTCTACTTGTGGCATCATGTTGTCACTCAAAATATTTTGGAATTTGGAACATCTCAGATTTCAGATTTGTATATTGGGGATTCTCAACCTGTAATAATCTAAAGCAATTTTCTAGATGATTAGTTACCCAAGATTTTTAGATGATTATTGTTTTTTAAAGACTAAAATGAAAGAAAAGATGAATTAGTAGACATTGATATTGCAACTTATTATCAACATTCTCCACATGTTGATCCAGAAGGCAGATGGGGAAAATGAGCATAATAGGAAAATAGTAGAATGTGTAAGTGACCCAAATAGAACCTCAAAGGTTAAGAAAATTGCAGTGCCTGAAATTTAACAAAAGTTTGTTTTAAGTTCTTTGTGGATTTAGATTTCTTCTCTTTAACTGTATCTAAGCCATATTCCAGGGCAACTACATAAATTCAAATTAAGGGTTTTTGGTTTGTTTAAATTGCCCTACTTTTCTCCCCCCAAGTAGCTTTGCCTGTTCCCACTACTGGTAAATGCATGCTCAAGTGCATGCTACTCCAACTGGTCACTTCTAACCTTGGACATGAAGACTGAAGAAAGTGTCAGTACAGTAGACAGCATCCCGTGAATTCAAGTCTGGTCTAAGTCCAGTCTCCTGAACTTCAGTTTTCCCATAAAATATGAATGAGAATGGTGTCTTTATGATCAGATGAACATGTTTCAAAACTTTAGGGCATAAAATTCTTTGTATTGACTTCTTCACTCTTTCCAATTCCTTCCACAAATGCTTTGAAAACACCGGTTGCATCAGCCATTGAGCACATAGTACAGGGAGTGCTGCAGGGCATGAGAAAGCTGCAGTTCTGTCTCTTTCGGAGCTCACAGTTTATGAATGCAGTAAGTGTTGGATTTGGGGAACCAGTTCAGGGAGACCCCAGAGCATTGGGAGAAAGGAAGGGTCAAAGAAGACTTGCAACAATTGATTTTTGGTGGATTCTTGAGAACAGGGAGGATTTTGAGGAAAAGTCTTTAGGACAGAAGGAGAGGCGTGGGTGAAAACTGGAATAAGGAATATAACTGGTAACTGGGTTCCCTGGAAGCAAACTCCACGAGACCGGAAGTTGGGCACAGGAAGCTTATATGTGAAGTAATTCTTGGAAATAGAGAGATGAAGCCTAAGTGAATGAGCTGGTTGATAACAAAGTCAGCAACTTGTGCTCAACTCCAGTGGGTTGTCCCAAGGAATCACATAGAACATACTTCAGTGTTGTCCCACTAGTGGATCAGGCTTCTGGAACTTGGATGCACCAACTTCTTTTCTTCATTGGTTGAAGGTGATCCCCCAGGAAGAATAGGCACCACATTTGGGTTTTCCAGGTTGTGCTTAAGTGTCTTCTGCACAAGCCTGAGGCAGCAAAGCCATGACAAGTGGCCACCCCATGCTTGATAAGGTGTGCCAATGAGGTTCATGAGTTTCCATGGTGAAATCAGGTGGACCTCAGGCATGTGACATATCCCTCAAGATTTGCTTCAGGTGCTTGGGGGCTAAATATTTCACCATTATTTGGTTTAGCTTATTTAAAGTGATCATGATAATTTGAAATTCTTTATACTTTAAAATAAGGGCAATTTATGTTTTAAAAAATAGACTCCTAATGTGTCTTGAAAAAAAGAAGGCATCATAGCCACATTGTACTCTCCACTGGGGCTGAGCAATAATTATACCTGGAAAAGCAGAGAATACCTGTTCCTCTTCAGAGCTCTTCTGCTCAACACAGTTATTACAGGATGACACATAAGTGCTTTTAAGTTTGCAATTCCTTTGCATAGTGTATTTAAGGAATGAGGGAAGCTTGATATGGCCAGTTCTTGTGTGTGTTTGGGAAGGAGACGTGGAAATTGAAGGCCAGTTAGGAGAGGCCTAAGCCAGTAATTCCTAGCACAGGTCCAGCTAATAAAGGGAAAGTGAAATATCAAGCAATCTTGTCTCAAGTTTGGTCAAGAGATGAAATAGGATTGAAATGTTCCTGGAGTCTCTTCTCAGTGCTGTCATCTAATTTGTCCCTAATATCCCCAAACTATATATAGCAGGCCAAGTGAGGATGTGCTCCTATGTAGAGAGATGAGTTAGACAGATGTGATTGACAGGTGTTTAAGAGTCCTGCTCTCTGGGAGAATGGACCTGATTGGTATTGTTTGCCAAATTTATAGTGTAAATTCTTCCCACCATGACTGATTTGTACAGTAGCACACCATTGTATAGCTTTTCCTCTATGCAGATGATATATTACATATAAATAACCTTAAGAGCACAATAAAAGTAAAATAATTAGAAAGTGGGGTGCTTTGAGTATTTATTACTTTTGTTTTTAATATCTTTTTAATGCAACTCTATATAATTTAATATTTAAGTATCTATGTTTAGCTATCAGCTCACAAACTTCCTGTACATTTAACTATTGGCTCTCATGAGCCTTTCTGAGCCAGTTTGTAG